AAGAGAGAAGAGAGAAGAGAGAGAGAGAGAGAGAGAGAGAGAGAGAGAGAGAGAGAGAGAGAGAGAGAGAAGACTGAAATATATCAAACATGTTTATATCAGGAACTATAATGATACAGAAACAAACAAACAAACAAAAATCCTAAAACAAAATAAAACAACAAAAACCCCACTCAGACACTGACCTATGGCAGACACCTCAGGGCACCAACTCAATCTGAAAATTACTAGAAAAGGATCAGATATTAATCCTGCCCTGGACTGTCCTGGCTGTACAGACTGAATCTCCAAGGGACCAAATTGGTGACAAGATGTGTCATTTCCTCCATTTTACAGATGTGGAGACAGTTACGGATCTGAGCCACTCCTCAGGGGTCACACAGGACAGAGTAGCTCATGAGGTGGTCTGCTCAATGCATAGCCACAGGCCCTGAGTGTGCTGAGGAGAGGCAAAGGGAATAACGAACTCACGCCACCTGGGTTCATCTTAGAAGAACCGTCAAGGACTCATCATTGAATAGTATGGGACTTTCACTTCTCACTTCTGCTTCTTATTCACTGACCAGAATACAGAGGACCACCTCCCCAGAGAGGAAATGCCACCCACCTACATGGCAGAGGAGAAGAAAGAAGAACATTGCTTTCTGCTTCTTCCAGGCCAGAGCAAAGACAATCCACATTAAGAACTACTTGATAATATTTGTCAACATAAATGTAAATGCCAGTAAGTTCCCCCAAATAAAAAGCAAATAGTTCCGATTTAGTGGTTCCATGTTTGCCTTATTTTCAAAGTCAAGTTTACAAAGATAACAGTAAGAAAAGCCTACATATCTTGAGTAATGTCATGAGCACAGCTCACAGATCTTAGTAGGGTCAGATCAGTGGCTTGGTTCTGAGCACTGGAGTTCCTTGAAGAGGGAAACTCCTTTATACCACTCCCAGGGTTTCAGCACAAAATGAATGAAAAATAAAATAAAATAAAAAGGAAAGGAAAGGACATGACTGCTCCTAGGTCTAGTGGGAGAGAAGGGTTATGGTAAATATGTGGGAGAGAAGAGCCAGAGGCAGGGACATCTGGGGGAGTCCAGAGTGGACAGGACCAGATTGAGCTGGGCCATGTGAGGAAGAGGAGGGAGGGGAACAGAGAGGGGAGAGAGGGAACAGAGGGGAGCCAAGTGTAGTAACCAGGAAGCCCAAAAGAAAACAGACAAAGAGACCGGGTTACCAAACTGGTTGGATTACATAGGGAAGAGCAGCTGGGACAAGGGCAGCCAGGGTAGGGGGTGGAGATGCCATCCAGGAGGGCCCTGCCACAGGTAGGGACTGAGGGATGCAGGAAGAACCTGGGGGCCAGGTCTGCTTTGATGTTAAATAGGCACCTCAGCCATTTGTCCCAGGTTTGAGACCTCACAACAGTATGTTTCTAAACCTTTCCAACCACCTGTCACTTAACAAGCCTAAGTATTCTTCTCAACTCTCCCGGTATTTACTTTAAAAAATGAATACACCTTTCAATGAAAGACTTGATGAACCTCCTTTTCCAAGTCTAGACTTCTAAATATAAACATTCCTACCTGGTTCTTCTTAGGGTTATTCTTTCAAAAATATTGCCATTCTTATTCACACAATGTGACTGAAAACAATGTGATTAACTCACTGACTTTCATGCTTTTTACATCGTACCCACGGAGTTAAGGATGCACAGTCTTTCAATGCAGATTTACATATGTACAAAAATGGGAATGATGACGGAGAACCGTTATAAATCCTTTACAGGTCTCTACTATATATTATCTATAATTATTTGAAAGAAAACTTACATGGATAGGATGCCTCTGTGCAACAGCCTCTCACTTCCCTTTCCATGTTGTGTGGGCATGTGTGTGTACAAGCATACACACACAGGGGTGTGCGTGTGTGTGTGTGTGTGTGTGTGTGTGTGTGTGTGTGCATATTCACGTGTGTGCTGGTGCATGTGGCCATGATTGTGTACTTGCATATAGAAGGCAAAAGAAAACCTGGGGTGCAATTCTCCCTTGGGTGCTATCCACCTTGTTTTTTGAAGCAGGTCTCTCTCTGGGATCTGGCACTCACCAAATAGGAGCTCCCCAGGAATCTGCCTCTCTCTGTTTCCCTGGTGCTAGGATCACACACTTACTACATCACACAGTATGCACTTTGCTGACTGGGCCATCTCCCCCAGACTAAGGATGTCCCTTTTATTCCAGGAATTCTTTTGTTTAAAATGGAAGGATCAGGGCTGCCAACTTAGTTTAGTATGTGAGGAGTGCTTCCTGCTCTCCTGGAGGACTTGAGCTCAGTCCCCAGCACCCACATTGGGAGGCTCCCAACCACTGCCTGTAGCTCTATCTCCAGGAGGATCTGATATTCTCTTCTGGCCTCCAAGGCTACCAGCACCCACATGGAAAACACTCAACCAGGCACACTCATACACATGAATAACAAGAAAAACAGAATGATAGGGCACTACCTCATTATGATGCGGTCTTCAATGCTGAAAAGGACTGAATCCTGCTGGTTTCACCTAAGTATGTGTGTGGTCCAGTTTCTGCACCACCACCACCACCACCACCACCACCTGTAGCATGAATCTTAAAAGTTCTTATTAATAAAGTCAAACCTGAGGCCAGTTATTGGGGTGCATGCTGGTAGATCAGAGAGACAGAACAAACCACAGCTATCTCACCTCGCCGGATCCTCAGCTGGTCTTGTCTCCTCAGACTGGAGGCCTCTGAGTCCTCATCCGGAATGGGTCTCAGCTGAATTACTGCTCTAAAGCTTGAATGCTTAACCAGCCAAAATCTTAACCAGCCAAATGCCTTTAGTTTCTGGTCCTCACGCCTTATATATCTTTCTACTTTCTACCACCACTCCCTGGGATTAAAGGCTGGCTTTCTGGGATTAAAGGTGTGTCACCATGCTTGGCTGTTTCCAATGTGGCCTTGAACTCACAGAGATCCAGAGGGATTTCTATCTCTGGAATGCTAGGATTAAAGGTGTGAGTGCCACCATTTTCTAGCCTTTGTATCTAGTGGCTGTCTGTTCTCTGACCCCAGATAAATTTATTAAGGTACACAATATTTTGGTGAACACAATACCACCACAACCACCACCACACAGGGAGCAGAATCCTTTCTCTGTGAGCGACCCTTAGCAGCAGTAGGCTGCTTTCAACCTCATGGCACCCTCTAGAATGTGGCTGCTTCCAAGCAAAGGAGGAGCTGCTTAAATCTGTGCAGTATGCAGACATGAGGCTTATGAAGAGAAGAACATATTCATACCTTGACATCAAGGAGGACGCCTGCAACCCAAATCCTTAGACGATTCATTTTTTTTAACTGATGAATAATAAATAGCAAAGTTTGTGTTTCTCCCAAGACTCTGCCAACAAGGAAATCAGGGAAGGTAAATACCAAGGCAGATTGACAGTTCCCATTGGATCCCTTCTTTCCAGATAATTCTTCAGCTTGAGGCCCTTAACCTTTTTAATATTCCCAACAGCATGCATTCAGTATCACACCCGGCATTCCTGCTAAGACACTCAGAAAGGAAGAGGGAAAAAAAGACATTGATAGAAGTTCATGGATTTTTACTGGCATGCAGATGCCTGATGCAAATAAGACGTCACGCTTCTGCTGTTTTCTGTCTTGCACATGGGGGTGTGTCCTACACACTGTGCGTTCACTTAATAATTATACATGGAGAATTCTCTCAGAATGAAAAACAAAATAAACCCAAAGGCTTGAAATAGATCTTTAATAACCTGGGAAATGGCTGACTACTCTAGGATAATGAAACACCAAAATGAAAATACACTCCGAGTAGTTCACTGTTAAGGTGAGTGAGAAGAACAATATCACACATGAAAAAAATGGCTGCCTTAACCACACAGGCAAACCCAGCCCTGTGCCCACCTTTGTCACTAACTGTCTGTGCATTACATTACGGCAAACTCATTATGACGACCTCAAAGTAACTTTCCTTCCTAACCCTTCTCTAAATCTGGTAGAGTAGTTTTAGAACAAATAGTAAGAGGTAGCCATTGGTCTTCCCATTTGATATTCTTGTAGCAGGAATCTTAAAAGTTCTTATTAATAAAATCAAACCCGAGGCCAGTTATTGGGGTCCATGCTGGTAGATCAGAGAGACAGAATAAGCCACAGCTATCTCACCTCACCAGTTCCTCAGCTGGTCCTGTTTCCTCAGACTGGAAGCCTCTGAGTCCTCATCCAGAATGAATCTCAGCTGAACTGTGTTG